TATATTAAAATGAAAAGGAAGTGTAATCCTGTTGTATAAACACTCTTAAGCAGCCCACTTTAAAGGGCAAACAGTTAGTAAATCAAATAGTTCATATCTCTACTCCAAAAACATTTTGCTATTTCTTACTCAGCTTTGCGTGCGAGCAGCGAACACTAAGAGCAAAGAGCCATTAGAGGAAAGTGACTTTAAACATTGATGAGCTTTCCACTGCTTCTGTAATGGCTTTACAGGCCACATTCATAAAAAATACACACCAAAAACTCTCTCTCACACACACACACACACACACACACGAAACCCAACCAGACTAAAACTGAACAGAGAGACTCAAATCACCCTTTTATCAAATCTGGGGCACAAACGGCGTGGAGTGATTTCCCAGAGCCTTAGAGACTCCTGCTCTTTACAGGGTTAAAGCCCCTAGAGAGCAGGATTATTCTGGATTAGGGTTATTTTGAGATTACCGTCTGAGATTTGAGAGATGAGAGGAGGTGAGACGGCCCGAGCTGCAGGAGAACCAAACAATGCCATGCTGACGCTCATCTGCGCTGTATTTGTTATAAGAGTGAAATTAGATTGTTTAAATGTGTGTTTTATGCATACCTGGCAACATATTTTTTTACACCCATCTTCCCGCCACCCTCCTGTTTTGTTATTTCTTTCAGGAAACTCCTGTAATTTGTATGGACCTATTGAGTTTTTTTATCTATGTTGCCAGATCTGACGCTCATCACCTGACACAATTGATGATATATTTAAACCTCAAAGCATTGTTTAACTCAATCTGGCAACATACGTTAGATCCCAGTTGTGCTGTTGATTTCTGTGCAGGTGGTAGATGCGGGATTCGGTAGAAACATCAGTATTAGTAAACACAGTAGACATCCCCCTTCCTGTTCTCCCTGAATTTCGACCTCGAATGTTGCAAGGTATGGCTTTATGTTGAATTTGTAAAACTTATTAGCGACACCTGTGGCTGTTTAGTGAACTGCAGTCAACAATTTTACAAAATACACATCCCGTGAGGAAAATCACTGCAGTACAAAACACAAAAGTTCAAATATGAGACAGTAAAATTTCATATATAACTACATTATCCAACATTATTTAAAGTTTGGTTTTAATGTTTGTTTGGTTTTCAAAACTTAAACCACATTTTTCCATATTTATTGCTAATTAAAAACCACCTCATTTCGGAGGCAGCTACTGCCCTCTGGAGGTCGCATTTTTGGTTACAGCCGCATTTATTAACCCATCCTTCATGACTGAAATAATATGCTGTGTTTTCAGCCAAGGCAACCTGGAGTGCTCAAATATAATTGGCTAAACTGGCAGTGGGCTGGTTATAGAGACCAAAACAAGGACAGACGTTCTGACACGGAACGCATATTCCGCAGGAGAATAACTGACTTTAGCATTGCTAATCATATAAACAAGTGTGTTCACCCAGCAGGTTTCTTAAATTGACACCTCACACAATTGACGATATATTCAAATCTCGAAGCATTGTTTAACTCAATCTGGCAACATACGTTACAACCCAGTTGCGTTGTAGATTTCTGTGCAGGTGGTAGATGCGAGATTCGGTAGAAATGTCAGTAGTAGTGGACAAAAGTAGACATCCCCCTTCCCGTTCTCCTTGAATTTAGACGTCAAATGTTGGCAGGTATGGTTTTATGTGGAATTTGTAAAGCTTATTAGTGACACCGGTGGCTGTTTAGTGAACTGCAGTAAATTTTTGACTATAGCGTTGACTATATTATAGCGCTTTTGCGCTATAATATAACGTAAGCTTTATCCTTGCAGTACAAAAAAAATTAAATATAAGATAGTAAGATTTAATAAACAACTACAAGTACACAATTATTATAGTTATAATAAAGCATCTTTATTTTAATTCTGTTCGGTTTTCAAAATTGAAACCATACTTTTTCGTAAAATCAAACACATTAAAATCCTTGCAAACTAAGAACATTTATTAGACAAAAATTGTAATAATTTTAGACAAATATTTAATCTTAATATTGTAACTTTTTTATCCATTGAAAATGCTCACAATAAAAATATATTTCTATTATTATTATTGTTATATTATTTTAAATTTAATAGTCTTAATTATTGAAAAATATTAAAACATATGTAGGATTAGCACATAGTGGTTGAACTAGGTATTGCAGTCCAACATTGATCTCCACTAGCTGAGTGATATCCGATATAAAGTGGGTCTCAGATTGTACAAGAAGCACTGCATTAAATTACATTTTTCCCCACCATGTCTTTATAATATAAGCATTTATTTTACTCCAGTATATGCAATGGAGCTTCTGCGCTAGCCTGCCAATTCTGATGGGCACATGCGAGTAAACAGCTTTTTGTCTCGTTTTACGCTTGAGCAAATAAATGAATGCCAAAGTCTATTTAACTGATTATATTTTAATTACATTACAACATCGATGCTGTAAAAGGAACCGTATAAAATGGACAAAAGTCACATTAATCGTTCACTGAAAGATTATCAGTATGGGAAGAAACACTAGCTCCGCATATACCCAATCATCTGCCAATGGGGTAAACAAAACAATCTTGTTTTTCCTTTTGACATAAGATTATTTATCTTACCGCTTACCGCATCACTCTGGAATACTTGATTCTGATTGGTCAATCACAACATTCCAAGGTATGTTCCTCCCATTTAATGCCGCTCTTCTTGACTCTTGCTAAATAAATAGGATAGTGTAGGCTGCATTGAACCATTTTTGTTTGTCGAACTTAATAGTGCAGTATGTAGAATTGATACATAGGGGTTAAACTAGGTATTGCGGTCCAAATTCAAAACATTGAAGAGGGTTTTTTCACTCAATGACTGGATGCATGCGCAGGTTGCCAGATTTACGACATCAACGGGAACAAACATGGCTGATGATGGAGCCTTACATTGTAAGCTGCTCAGCTAATGTTAACATTTGTAATAGTTGTATTTAGGACTCGGTCGATAAATTATATTATATCGAATCGCAATAAAATTAATGTCAAAAACAATGATAAGCTCTGTACTTTTTACTCTATAATGATGTAAGAGCCAATCACACAGCAGAAATGTGCATTAATAGGAATCTAAACGTGTGTTGGTATTAGAGATGTACCGAGTTTTCAGCCACCGAAAAATTTATCGGCCGAAAATATGTTGTGCCGTTTAATGGACCCTCTAATTTTTGTGGCTTCAGTCATTGTTGGGGTACTCCTAAATCTGGAAACATTATTAAATTTTATTGAAATATATATAGTGATTGTTTAATGTGAAAAATAATGATCGAGACTGCATTTTTGCCATATCGCCATTCCCTAGTTGAATTAATTGCTAATAGAAAACCACCTCTGGAGATCACATTTTTGGCTACAGCCACATATATTGATGCAGCCTCTAGCACTGAAATTAAATACGCTGCGTTTTCCGATGAGCCAACCCGGAGTGCTGAAATAGAATTAGCTAAACTGGCAGTGGGCTGGTTATAGAGACCAAAACAAAGACAAACATTCTGACACGTAATGCACAAAGGAGAAAATCAACATTACGGCTGATTCACACAGGGCTTCAGCATCAACATTTGACAGAGGGCGTGTCTGAAGTTTGGGCTGATGCAATTGCATATCAGCGTTAGTCAATGAAATTAGTCACCAATAAGCCAATGTCTGAGTTGGCGTATTTGCATAAAGCCATCTGACTGGCTGACGCTTCTGGCAGCGCTTGAAAAGTTGAGAACGTCCAAACTTCTGCAGCGAGCAACGCCACTGAATGAAGCGTCACCGACGGATCCACAATGTAGTTCGTCATCGCTTGACGTCACGTCACCCATTCAAAGTGAATGGAAAGCGTTGACGCTGACGATGCCCGGTAGGAATGGGCCATTAGTAGGGCCAGACGGAATCTGCGGATGTTTTTTGCTATTTCTGCAGAGAATTTTAGTAAAAATCTGCGGATTTCTGCGGAATTATTTTGGGAGTATCCAGCGGAGTATCAAAATTAAAACCTTAATATATGAAACAAAAAGTAATAAATTACTGAATAAAAACTAAATAAATTAATATTTACACATTTACTCAAGTAAATAAACAAAATTAATGATGGGCAAAAAATCTGCGGAATTCTGCGAAAAATCAGCGAAAAATCTGCGGAATTCTGCGAAAAATCTGCGAAAAATCTGCGGAATTCTGCGAAAAATCTGCGAAAAATCTGCGGAATTCTGCGAAAAATCTGCGGAATTCTGCTGAATTATTTTGGGAGTATCCAGCGGAGTATCAAAATTAAAACCTTAATATATGAAACAAAAAGTAATAAATTACTGAATAAAAACTAAATAAATTAATATTTACACATTTACTCAAGTAAATAAACAAAATTAATGATGGGCAAAAAATCTGCAGAAATCTGCGCGCGCAGATTCCGTGTGGGCCTAATCATTAGCCTTGTTTTTTAGATAAGCACGTTCAGTTAGCATGTTTTTTTATGCTTAAGAAGAGTCAAAACTTGCATACAGCACCTTTAGGTGAAAAGTTAATAAATTACATTTTGTGTCTAATTTTTTATCTTTGTGGCATGTAGTAAGTGATTTAAAGTACATCTTGAAAGTATTTATTGCAGAATAAAGCCTTCGAGTTTACTACAAGACATTGAAAATTCAAGACGGGTGTTTCCAGCATGCAGCGTAACCTTCCACCCTGATCTCCGACACGGCTCAGGTGTCGTAAGCGGGATTGTGTCCAGATTACAGGGTAGAACTGGGGCAGATGTGCAGCTGATGTCCACCACATGCCATCCCGGGACACCACAGACTCACAACAGGCCACAATCTGCCGGTTGGTGCTGAAGACTCATGCAGGAGAACAGTAGAGAGCCTGTTCTGGGATGGGGAGAGGAGAGGAGGGGGTGCGGCGGACGGTAAAAGTGTGTTTGTTCGAGTCCATCCGACAGGAAAACAACTCCAGACAAAAACAACCATCTGGACGGCCCCCAAATTACCATAGAAACAATACAAATAACTCCATACAACAATAAAAGGGCATTAAGAGGAGCTCAATAACAGCTCTGCACTAATGACCCATTTTCAAACTCCTCGAAGCTGTGAAATTTGAAAAACGTATTTATATACGGATTTATATGATGACATTGTCAAAAATTTGAACAATTTATTTTTAAATCATCTCTGTTCAGCTTTTAAACTGACATGTAGGTCAAAAACAAGATGTCCCATTTTGGGTTCAGCATAAAATTAGACTTTTAATCAGAAAGCATTGCATAATATATGCAACTAAGATGTAAGTTAAAAATAATTGTATTAAATTAAAATATGGGATTATGCTACATCTTCATTCAGGAATGTTTAATTATGTATATATCAAACAACATTAATGCAGGCCTTATTATGTGATCATATTTTAAAAATCACTGGGGACATATCATTTAATAAAAACAAAGGGTTTGAAGGGCAGAGACAGAAAGATTTATAAATATAAGACTTAATTAATTAGTATTTTCATATACTCTCAGTATAGTCTTAATACTAAAACTGAAAATTAAATCTATTTTAAGACTCCTGCTCTCTCTAACCTACTTTTTTCACCCATTGTTTATGAATAACTTATAAATCAACTAAATAAATAAGTGGTCTGGCTTAGACACTGGGTTATTTTCCTCAGTTGAACGATAAAAGTGAAGTAAAATAAACTGTAATAACGGTTAATTACCTTGTCAGAATCGAGGTCCGGTTCCGTTTGGCACAGTCGGAACAGGAATGATTTTGGGTCCCGGCAGAGTGTTTGTCTGGTGGTCAGAAAATACGTTCCCCCGACGTTTAGACGGACCCATTTGGAGGAGCGGTGGTTAAAGGTCTGAACCGGAGCCGCTCGCCGGGACTCCTGCCCGCAGATCCCGCCGTGAGTCTCCGCCATCCTGTGCTCGGAGCTCCGCTGAAGTGGGTGACGGGAAACACACTGCACTGACGGAGAGCAGAAACACCCCGCACTTTTGTTTTTTCAGACACTACACAGTGAATCCACTCTCAGGCTGTGCTGTTCATTCCTGCTACTAATCCATACTTCAGCGCGTTTTCGTTAGATTTCTGGTGATTCCATGAACGAATCATTCATTTGAACCGATGCTTTTTAAGTGACTCATCCAAACACATTTGGGAGTCATTCTCTAGTAGGCTAACGTTGGGTGTAAATAGTCAAACTATTGATTTTATTAAAATTGTTTTTAGCTAAAAACAGGTAAAGTAAGGCATTACTTTTGTATTATTACGTCATTAAATTACACTTATTTGTACTTGCCTTATATTCAACAGTTCTAGGCTTAGAGCAATTCAGAGAAGCAGTGTATGTCTTGCAGAATGACGGAAACCAGAAACACCTCTCGGTTGTTTTTCAGACACTACATAGTGCTGTTCACTCCTGATTCTAATCCATACTTTAACATGTTTTCATACGATTTCTAGTGATTCCATGAACAAATCGTTTATGTGAATCGATGCTTTTTAAGTGACTCATCCAAACCACATTAAGGAATCATTCTGTTGTGTTGGATGTAAGAAAGTAGCTAATGTTATTAAAGTACTTTTCAGCAGTGTACTATTTAACAAAATGAGGGGAAAAAAGATGCACTCTGCACTTGTTTTTTTTTTTTTAGATACTACACAGTAAATCTCAAGCTTTGCTGTTTTTTTCCTGCTACTAATCCATACTTCAGCGTGTTTTCATTAGATTTCTAGCGATATAAAGAACAAATCATTCACATAAAGCGATGCTTTTTAAGTGACCCATCAAAACTCTAGTGCTGGGTGTAAATACTTACAAAAACATATATTTTCCATATACTACACTAGGAGTTCTCAATTTTTTTTTTTACTTTTAATTTAAACTTTTATTTACACACTTACACACTTACACACACACACACACACACACAGTTAAAGTCAGAATTATTAGCCATATATATATTTTTTATTTATTTCCCAAATCATGTTTAACAGAGCAAGGGAATTTTCACAGTATGTCTGATAATATTTTTTCTTCTGGAGAAAGTCTTATGTTTTATTTCAGCTTCAGAATAAAAGCAGTTTTTAGTTTTTTAAACACCATTTTAAGGTCAATATTTTTAGCCCCTGTAAGCTATATTTTTTTCAATAGTCTACAGAACAAACTATTGTTATACAATAACTTGCCTAATAAACCTAATCAACCTAGTAGAGCCTATACAGTAAATGTCACTTTACGCTGTATAGAAGTGTCTTGAAAAATATCTAGTCAAATATTGTTTACTGTCATCATGGCAAAGATAAAATAATTTAGAAATGAATTATTAAAACTATTATGTTTAGAAATGTGTTGAACAAATCTTCTCTATGTTAAACAGAAATCGGCGGAAAAATAAACAGGGGGCCGAATAATTCTGACTTCAACTGTATATATACATATATACATATATATATATATATATATATATATATATATATATATATATATATATATATATATATATATATATAAATATAAATTTTCCTCTATTTTTTTGTTGCTGAAAAAATGTCATTCAGGTGGGCCTTCAAAAATTGATCAGAGAAAGAAGTAGGCCCCAAAGTGAAAAAGGTTGAGAACCACTGCACTACAATACTCTTAAGAAAATAATGTTGGTTGTCATATGATGCATGTAATGACGAAACAGCAATGCTCAAGGTTTTTTTATATAGTTTTTTTTTAAGACACAACCCAAATATTTCTCAATATTTTGCAGGCTGGAGGAAATAAATGAACAAACAATCCGCCTATTCCAAAAACTCACTATAGAGGGCAGCAGATCAATACTTAAATGTTTTTGTGCAAGTATTAGATTATGCACAGCTTGGAGGAAGAACCATTTGAAAATTGCTATTTGTATTCATTTCAAAGTGAATGCAGAAAACAAATATTCAACTTTGTATTCATTAGCAGAAGAGGTTGCATTCCAATTCCAAAAAATGCTGCAAAAATGATTTCACTGCTCAAGTTCAACCTAATTAAATTTATTTATAATCTTGCTTTTGCCTGTTCATTTCAAATATTTTGTTTATAAAATGTTTATATACTCGGAATTGTTTAAATTCTGGGGTGGCACGGTGGCTCAGCGGTTAGCATTGACTCCTCACAGTATGGTGGTCGCTGGTTCGAGTCCCGGCTGGGTCAGTTGGCATTTCTGCGTGGAGTTTGCATGTTCTCCCCGTGTTGGCGTGGGTTTCCTCCGGGTGCTCCGGTTTTCCCCACAGTCCAAACACATGCTCTATAGATGAATTAAGTAGAGCAAAATTAGCCGAAGTGTATGAGTGTGTGTGTAAATGGGTGTTTCCCAGTACTGGGTTGCAGCTGGACTGGCATCCGCTGTGTAAAACATGATGATGGTGATTTGCATGTGTTTATTAATCCTTCAGATCGCTGCATTCGAATCGGTGTTGGAAAAATGCAAAAATCAAGAAAGAGATTCAGTTTTTAGCAGGCATGGGCCGGTTTAAGACCCTGACTGTATGAAAACCTTGGATAAAAATATCACTGATTCACTGTATGACAGTATTGTGATTACTGCTCTGAAATATGTTCTTTGTAAAAAAAAAAAAAATTTAAATAAAAATTCTGTTGAACACAAGATATATTTTAAGAAACATTTAAAATATGAAATATTAACAGTAAACATGTTAGATTAAATATTAAAAAAATAATGACCTGCTATTTTAATTAGTTTACAAAACACTGATTTCTTTACAAAATGAAAAGGCGTCTTTGTTACATCTTTCTTTTCACTGGATATAAAGTAAGCCACTGCACTGTTCTGCTGCAAAGCCTATAGAATGTTGGTTTATAAGTGATTTGTTTCTCAAATGTTTGCTGAATCATGGGCTGACCAGTAGCTTTTGATATGGAGTGTCCTTCTCTGCTGGAGATTCTGTTGCCCTAAAAAACTAAATAAAGTAATTGTAAAAAAAAAAAACATGTTAAAAAAACACCAACATATACTTTAGAATATGTATAACAAAGTTTTGGTGGTTTGAAAACCTTGACATTTCCAAATCACGCAAACCTTGAAAACGGTTAGTGTCCCATGCCTAGTCTTAAGTCTTTTGAGTGAGTTATGAAGTTACAAACAGTCATATAAGACAGAAGTACTGGGATAACAGCTTATAGTTTAGATAAAAGCACTGATGTTTATGGTAAAGATTAAAATCACAGTCAAATGCATTCAACGACGCTCAAAAATGACTGTTGTAGGCAGCAGTTACATTATGTAACCAATAGGTGGCGACAACCAGCCATCAAAAATATGCCACTGAAAAATTCTTCAGAAATGATCCTCTAGCAGTGAAACATGAAGTTTTATGAGTGAACAACTGAATCATTTATGAGACTATAGCTAAATATGGGTTGTACAAATTATAACGTTAGATTTCTACATATAGCGTTATCAGCAGCAGTAGTAACAGTGAATTTTTCATTTTATTTTTAATGAATTTACAGCTTCTAATTTCCCTTTGTTACAAACAAAATTGTCCTGCAGTGCTGTTTTTTGTAATAAATGTAAAGCGAATGACATTTGTCTCCTCCCCTTTTTGGCTGATCCAAAAAATGGTCCAATCCGTGACTAAAAAACCAAAACGTGATCCGAACCGTGAGATTTGTGATGCGTTACACCACTAGAAGATACCACAGAAATTATTTATTTTAATTAAGATGAATAATCGCACCAGCCAGCCTTCACTCATTCATAAAGACAAAAACAAGGAGACTGTTTGTAAAATGTAATGATGACGGATAAAGTTGTGGAGGGTTAATCGAGTGTGGTACGTTTCTAAGGTTATTAAAGGTGTTTTCTGTCACTACTAGTTTAGCCTGCATTAATGCATTCAGTGTAAGCTACACAAATAATCATTGAAAGATCAGGATCTCAACACCCACGCACCGTAAATTATAAATGATGGTGATTTGCATACGTTTATTAATGCTTCAAATCGCAAATCTGTTTGAAAAACGCAAAAAAAATGAAGAAAGATTCAGTCTTTAGCCTTTTGAGTGAGTTATGAAGTTACAAACAGTCATATAAGACAGAAGTACTGGGATAACAGCTTATAGTTTAGATAAAAGCACTGATGTTTATGCTAAAGATTAAAATCACAGTCATATGCATTCAACGACGCTCAAAAATGACTGTTGTAGGCAGCAGTTACATTATTTAACCAATAGGTGGCGACAACCAGCCATCAAAAATATGCCACTGAATAATTCTTCAGAAATGATCCTCTAGCAGTGAAACGAAGTTTTATGAGTGAATACCTGAATCATTTATGAGACTATAGCTAAATATGGGTTGTACAAATTATGTCAGATTTCTACATTTAGCGTCATTAGCAGCAGTAGTAACAGTGAATTTTTCACAGTACTGAATATTTTACATTATTCAGCTGATAATTTATTCACTTTATTTTTTATAAAATTGCAGCTTCCAAGTTCTGCTTGTTACAACCAAAATTGTCCTGCAGTGCTGTTTTTGTAATAAATGTAAAGCGAATGACATTTGTCTCCTCCCCTTTTTGGCTGATCCAAAAAATGGTCCAATCCGTGACTAAAAAACCAAAACGTGATCCGAACCGTGAGATTTGTGATGCGTTAAACCACTAGAAGATACCACAGAAACTATTTATTTTAATTTAGATGAATAATCGCACCAGCCAGCCTTCACTCATTCATAAAGACAAAAACAAGGAGACTGTTTGTAAAATGTAATGATGACGGATAAAGTTGAGGTGGGTTATTCGAGTGTGGTGCGTTTCTAAGGTTATTAAAGGTGTTTTCTGTCACTACTAGTTTAGCCTGCAGTAATGGATTCAGTGTAAGCTACACAAATAATCATTGAAAGATCAGGATCTCAACACCCATGCACCATAAATTATAAATGATGGTGATTTGCATACATTTATTAATGCTTCAAATCGCAAATCTGTTTGAAAAACGCAAAAAAATAATGAAAGATTCAGTCTGTAGTCTTTTGAGTGAGTTATGAAGTTACAAACAGTCAAATAAGACAGAAGTACTGGGATAACAGCTTATAGTTTAGATAAAAGCACTGATGTTTATGGTAAAGATTAAAATCACAGTCATATGCAT